GTACTTCGTTGGGCCACGAGATGACTCCACGAGATGACTTCGTTGGGCCGCCTCGTGACTCCACAAGATGTTGAAAGGTGATGTGAGGAATCTGACACTGCACTGTTGCCCTTCTGTTGTCTTGTACCAGTCTTGCCACTCTCTGTTCTGCCCTAACATTGACTAGTCGCTGAAGGCCACAATTCGCACGTTCAAACCCAGATTTTCGGCTGACAGTCCAGTCTTTAAACACTTTAACAACAGCTGCTCTTGAACATTTAACGAATTCTGCTGTTTTGCTGATACTCGCTCCATGGCTCAGAGCGCCAACAATCATCCCACGTTCAAAGGCTGTAAAATCGCGTTGTTTACCCATATCTTCAGAAAATAATCACTTCTACTGTCGTGGTAAACAACCTGCTTCCCTATTTATAATGGTCTGGCCCTCTAGCAACTTCAGCGCAAAATTATAGCTAATTATAGCTAATTTGCCTACAAACGTCAGGTGGTCATAATAATCTGGCCACTCAGTGTATATGCCCAGATCAAAATTTTTAAAGAGTTTTTAAAGAGTTATCAGGATTTTTTTTGTTACACTGTCTTTACTTTGCTTATGTTTATTATAAGCTGGAAAATTGACAAAAATGTTTTGAAAATTCCCTCTTATATGCATTACAGTTTTTTAAACATTTTTTAAATTAAATACGTAAATACTTTTTTGCTTTCCATAGTGAGAAATGATGCCTGCTGGCTTTAGCTGTTACTATGCCTCTCTCTGTGAGAGTCACTTGACAACTGCAGCCAGCAGGTTTGTCTGTAAACAAACCTCATGTGGTCAGCATGATTAGCTATTATGGTTATCACTTGATTGAGAACAATTCAGTACAGTTCCTGGTCATTAGTGTGAGACCAGCAGCTGTCAGATTCAGCAAGGTCTCAGAGTTAGAAGCGTAAACATATGTCTCTGAAATAGAACCTACATGAATCATCTTTCGGCATTGCAGCCATGCTTGGGAATGTAAATCTAAAGATTGCCGGCATCAAAGTGTTAAAGTTCAGCCCCAAAGAAATATAATAAAAAGCATATTTTATCCAGCTACTGTATGTATTCATTTAAATTCAAACCTGCCTACATATGCAGGGAGGGATGATCTCATTACTATCCTGCTGTTCCTTAATATCCTAGTTAGAGACTTATCTAAGACCAGGCTGCATTGCTTAACTGCAATAATTTGCAGATAGGTCCATGACCTGACTACGAAGTGTGGCACGGCCAAATAAGCATTACCAGAACCTTGCACATAACTCTTGGCAGAGCAGCATCGCTCTGTGAGGGTTACCTATTTTCCTTTTAATTTGCTTGTTGTAACCCAGCTTAAAACTTTAGGACAAAGTGTAATTGTGTGCTTACTTGAGACAACTGTATTTCTTCCAACAAGTGGAAAGAAATGAGTGGTCAGTTATTACACAGGGAAAAAATATTTATTTGCCTTTGCTGTCTAAAGGTGCTAGGTCTGTTCTGTCCAGCTGAAATGTGGCCCTGCTAACTAGAATAAAGCTTTAAAGGATAGATACAGTCAGGGAGATACATAAGCACCACCATGGCCATAACATTTTTCATAATGTCTTGATTATGCTAAGCAATGTTGTTGCACACTATCTAAATGGAATAGAGAATGCTTAATAGGGATTTCACAGGGGAACCTGGTTAGTGATTAGACCCACTGTATTAATCAAATTATGTTGAGTAACCCTTTAACAACCAATTACAAAATATATTAACATGATATATGTAACAAAAAAGACATAGCTAAAACAAATTAAAATTTAAACATTTCAAATCACATGAGTGGTTGCTTTAAATTAATAGGGTGCAACAGAAAATGCTATAAATGGCAGTTGTAGGCATCATATGACCACATGAATATTCCTACATGATTATTGATTGTTGCAGAAGATGTATGTGCCCCCTAGGCTCCCGATGTGTTGCCATCCATCTGAGATAACTCAGAAAAAAATAGCTAATATCGGAAGGGGTCTTTACAAGGTTTTGTCCTACCTTTCCTATGTAGCAAGCTAATCGAGGCTCGGTTTCCTAACCAAAAGGGTTATTTACTAAAGGGTGAAGAGTTTGGAGAAGGCAGAAGAAGTGAACAATCTAGGACAACATATCTGAATTGGAAAGCGAGCTGAATTGGAGAATTTTTCCAAATCAGCTATTTTGTCCTAGATTGTTCAATTCTCCTGCCTTCTCCAAACTCTTCACCCTTTTGTGAATAACCCTGCAAGTGTTTTGCCCCTTCAGATGAAGGATATCTGTTGCTGCAATGTTAAAGTCATTCTCTGGAGGCAGTAAAATAAACAGGTACAACACACACAAGAAAAGAACAGATCCACAAGACCTGAAAGAGACTTAATGCATACTTAAGGGCCTCTGTCAATGGGTTCAGTTTGACATAAGTTTTAGACACTTTTAGTATTATTCAGAAATAATTGACAGGTACATTTAATTGTCATTTGACCTCCTCCTGACATGCAGTTGACCTTTAAGCTTTATCTGGTTTACAATCCCATTTACTTGTTTGGGATTGCAAAATCTGTCTCATGCAAACAAAAGCCTCCTAACAAAAACCCATCGTGTACTTTGAATATATTGACCCCTTCATGACGGGAGATGTACACTGTACGTCCCGCCACGGAGTGCCCAAATTACTCATCACGTACACTGTACGTGATGAGTTATTTGCTGCTTTACAAGGCTGGTAACCGCTGTGAATCAGTGGTTACCATTCATTAATGGATGCCTCGGTATAGAGGCATCCATTAATGAAAGAGTTAACCTTTTTCAGACACCCGATCCCCTTCAGGAATCGGGTGTCTGAGAGTGAGAGCAGAGCCCCATTTGCAGCTCTTGCCGCCACTCTGACAGCTGGTATAGATCTGAAAGCTAATTTGTATATCAGCTTTTTTTTTTCTTTCATGCACAATACAATGTTTCCACTCAGTGTCTTTTGACAACCCATCCCATGACCCACTTATACTCACTTTCATCACTCCCCCTGGCACTCTGTCATCAGCTTCTTCAGAGCCCTTGTGAAATCAGTGCTTCCAGGTATGGGAGGACATGTGATTGTCACATAAGATGGAGGAGGATGTCATCAACACTCCAACATCATCCAACACAGAGCTTACCCAGGGTTTGACTCTTGGCTCACTCAGAGGAATGGAGCAACATGGAAATGCAGTGAAGGTGAGTATAAGTGGGTTGAGAATGTTTTTTTTACAAGATTCTCAGTTTGCCCAGAATGGTCCAATGTCAACCAAAACTTGTTATTTAACTTATTTTGTTTTGAATAGAACAGGAAAAGTTTAGAGCCACTGCCAGGTTTTCATTGGCATATGTGTCCATATTGTGGAGCTTTCCCCTCACTTCCTGTTAGGGGGTGATGAAACATTTCTAAGGCACATTTTTTGTATTGTGAGGAAGGGTTAGAACTTTTAAAAATGCTTTTATTGCCATTGTACCATCCTATCCTATGGACAACTACACCCCCATTTCCTGTGCTGCAGTGTCACAGGGACAGGAGGTTTGGGAACATTTTCGTAGTAGGCCACAAACAATAATAAAGATCTGACAGAAATGTTACCTCTTTCCCATTGTTAGGGTTTAAGATGCAAATCAAACTTAGGTTACAGAACATCCTTATCAGGAAAAAAGATAATTTTTCCAGGATCCAGCCTCTCTTGCTGTGTACTTTTCAGCAGTGTACCTTACAGTGTATGAGCTGCTCTACCAGAGCAAGGCATGGCCAACACACTGACAATAGCTGGTCTAAGAGGACTATTATAATGGTATTTGGTACAGAAATTGTATTTCTACCTGGAAAACAACAATAAAAGATATAAGCTAGTTGCAATTATACAATAAGATATAATCTAGATCCACCTAATTACCTAACAATACACAAAATAGAATCAAAGTATATAGTCCATATCAGAATACATAAGATAAATTACAGAGTAAATTTTTAAATCAAGTATACAGATTTTCATGGCATATTGCAGCAAGGTAGTTATTATTTATTATTAATATTATATATTCTTCACTTTTACTTTAAGGAAATAGTTTGCTCTTGAATAAACAGCCTCTGTCCAAAGGAAGTGTAAAAAGCTTTAACTAAATGGGAGAGTTTTGCAAGCAGAGGGGTCTCGTGAATGTGTCATGCTTAATGTGTGACTTCAAGCCACTTTTCCTGCAAGGTGCCAGCCGCAATATTTCCCTACAAACTTCTTACACTATACCAGTGGAATAGAGTTCTCCTCATAGCATCTACTGACACTTTTTTTCTAAACCATATCAAATTCTTGACTGATTAGGATAACACTGTATTTTTTATGTATCTAACTTAAGGTCCAATCATACTTCTGCAATTTTCTTACAAGTGTTTCACCAAATTTAGAAACCTTCAAAAGAGATTTTGGTTAAAAAAAAGTAAAAAAATGTGGTCCCTGCAAAAGAGGTGTTTAATACTCACCTCTGGCTCAAATTGTCTAGAAGCATAATTTAAATTGACATTTCTCAGAGTGTCATATTCCTGGCCCTCTGCTACACACTGTGGCTCCTCCCTCCGGCCCCTATGTCACTACTGTGTTCAGTGGCAGTGGCAGGAAGCACAGTGTTTGGCATGGTTCAGTCAGCAAAAGTGGTATCAAGCACCTTCTTTGTAAGAATTCCTGTTCTGTTTAACAAGCTCATATTACTGTGCTGCATTTTGGAGAGATGTTTTTGACCTTTCCCTAATTATACTGTAAAAAGTATGTTGACAGGTAGAGGATATGAATTGACACATGCTCCTAAAATCAATAACATGCACATAGTATGAATAGAGTCTTATCCAGAGATGCTTTTTAAACTACTTATAATTACTAAATTAAATGTTTATGTTTCACTTAGAGTAAAAAATAGCATTAAATGAATGTTCTGAACATGTCCTAATGAAATATTTGTTTTTTATTTCTAGTTTGTGGCCCAGCCAAACTGTCAGCAGTTGCTGGCTACACTGTGGTACGATGGATTCCCAGGTTGGCGCCGGAAGCACTGGGCAGTAAAGCTGTTGACTTGCATCACAATTGGACTGCTTTTTCCTGTGCTGTCTTTGGCATATCTGATAGCACCCAAGAGCAGGCTGGGACTGTTCATTAAAAAGCCATTCATCAAATTTATCTGCCACACAGGCTCATATCTCACGTTCCTCTTTTTCTTGCTTTTGGCATCCCAACACATCGTTAGGACTGACTTACACATGCAAGGACCTCCACCCACGGTAGTGGAGTGGATGATATTACCTTGGGTTTTAGGTAAGTGACAATTTGTAATGTTGGAAAGATAAATATATGATAAAATAATTACTACCAATTTTTCTGACTGCTTAGGACTTGAAGCTACCAAGTTCGGTGTTAAAAATGCTTATTATGCTACTGTAGTATACATTTCCACAGGCTTCGGCATTGTTTTAAAATTGCCACAAACACTTGCATTAAATTTGGTTATGTACACATTTTTAAGCTATACTGAAGGTTAAAATAATTTGTTTTCCAATGGTATATTTATACCCAACAGGCTATCCAATCTGCCACTACAGCCCCATGAAAATTACACTTCTAGGTATGGTGCACATCTGCTCCCCGACTTCCAAATTGCAGTGCTGAGTGCCATAAACAATAATGTTACCACAAACGTGACACACTTTTTTCATGTTTTGCAAATGCTCCCAAGTGTGAATGGAGCCCTAGGGTGCTTATTATACAATTGATTTGTTACTTTGTTAACTAAAATATAGGTTTGCTTGAAGTACCTTCACCATGATTTTAAAAGTGAAATACCTGACTTGAAGTCATGGAGAACTTTCTTAACAAACCAATTGGTTGTAGAGCCATTAGATTTCTCTCCAGTATGAAGTATTCTTCTTTGCTGTTGGATCCAATTAAGCAAATAAAGAACGTAGTTTTAATTCTGGATGTAATATCTCTTAGGATTAAAATCCTAACAAAGGTTCTAACCCTGACCCTTGCACTGTGTACATTACATACACCATGTATGTCTAGGGTTAGGGTTTAGGGAAAAAACAGCCTCATTTCCCTATTAATAACATTGGCAACAAGTCCAATGTTTTTTAGCTAGACCGTAAAAATACCAGCCAGGTCCACTGACCACTTGACCCCTGCACTCTGTATGTAACATACTCCTGACCCCTGCATCTGTAGATTACATGCTCCTGACCCCTGTACTCTGTATGTTACATACTCCTTACCTCACCACTACGTGATTTTTAATACTTCTGACCCCTGCACTCTGTTTGTACATTATATACTTCTATCCCCTGCCACTGTACTCTGGGCTGTATGTTACATACTCCAAACCTCTGTACACTGAGCTGTACATTACTCTAACTCTTGGCCACTGCACTGTGTTCAGTTGGAGGTGTTACTTTTACTCAAGTTACACTGGGTGCTGGACTGTACATTGTACTCCTGACCTCTGCAATCTGTGCAGCGTGTTGTACACTATACCCCTGCCCAAAGTGGCTAAGTTGTCCCCAACTATTTTAATAAAGTTCTTCTTGAAGGTAGTCTCGGACAGTGTTAGCTCTCCGCTAATATTCAGTATGCAGAAAATCCAGGATGTTTTCGAGAAAGAAGTGCAATAAGTACTTGACATCACCCTATATAAAACTAAAAAAATATGCCTTTACACACACTTTTTATTTTGTTGGCACAAGTACTGCCAGATGTGTATGCAGCATATACAATAAATAGGTTCTCGGCTAGCTTTACTGTTACCCTTTAAGCCACTCCCAAAACATCCTTTACTTATCCTTTACCTATACTACTCTATTCTAAATTGAAAGTATAGCCCAAATATTTTTTTTATATACAAAGCAGAGGAGGGTTAAAAACTGTTTTTTTTCCCCATCTGTGTCATATTAGAGTGATTTACCTTCACTTCCTATCTTGCAGACTCAACAGGAAGTCAAAGAATATCTTCCCAGTTTAGGAGCAATGTCTTAGACAGTTGCTCTGGTGTCAATTGTGACCCAACAGTGTCCCAGACAGCAATAATAACCTGGCATTGGTTCTAACCGCTCAGCACTCTTTTAAAATCTAAAAAAAAGTTTTGACTTCAGGTTTAACTTTAACTGGATGACTGAGAGCATGCATATGACAGCTTAATGCCGGCCAAGTCAGTTGGAGCCATTAACATTTTAACTCTTGTATCAGTGGCTAAAAACAGACACTGCATATTTAAGATTGTGAATACATAATTTGCAAATGTAGCAGCACTGAGCCAGTTGTTCTGTTTCTGCCTGAGAAGATTATTACATTTGTTGTCAAATGTGACATAGTGTATAATTATGTTACATAAAGCATGTTAAATCATGATAAATTGTGTTGTATCTAACGTTGCTGTTTTATTATGTTAACACAATTCTGCTGCCTATGAAGCTACTTATCTTTCAGCAAAGAAAAACATTGGTAAACAAATGAGGAAAGATTTGAATGTCTAGATTCTAGGTATGCAATCTGTTGGTCAGTTGTGCTGCCAGGATTTTGAGAAATGCTATTGATATGATATGTTTCCATTAAAAAACAAATATCAGTGATTTTAGAACAGTGGCAAACTGGTGTTTAGTAGACCCAGAAACTCAACATGCTAACAGTTGGAGGCACAACACAGGAGATGCTGACGGCCATCTTCAATTGTTTTGGAAGTCCATGCCACAAAATAATTTTCCAGCTTCCATCTGAAAGAGACACATGACAGGCCTTCGATCACTGCAGCACATACGTAGCTTCCGCCAATCAATTACACTTCATTTATAACTGTACTAAGGAATATAAGAATAAGGATTAGCTTTGGGTTTAGGTCAGTCAAGGTATAATGCCAGACTCGTAACCATAAAAAACAGGGTGCCCAGTAGACATGTGCAATTAATCTTGTTCCAAATTGAAATTCAGACAAATATCGTCATATTCAGACATTCAGATGCATCTGAATTTCTGAATGAAAGAAATAACGAATCCGAACGTATTAAAATTTTCTGGTAACGAAATTTGTATGCATATGACATTTTTTCCAATTTTCATTCTTAATAAATTTATGTTGTTAAACGTTAAAATAATAAAACAAAAGCATGGAATCCCGCCCCAATTCATTTAGGTCACGCTGCTACTTGGATCAAGGGTCTGGTAAGGGATTTTAGGGGGGACCCCAGGCTTTTTTTTTTGGTGTTGGGGTCCACCCTAAAATCCCTTAGCAGACCTTTGATCTGAGCAGCAGCCTGAAGGGGGAGAGATGAGCATGGCCCCCCTTCCTGCACCATATCAGGCCACATGCCCTCAACATGAGGAGGGTGCTTTGCCAAAAGGGCAAAGCACCTTGTCCCCATGTCGATGAGGACAAGGGTCTCTTCCACACAACCCTGGCCCAGTGGTTGTGGGGGTCTGCGGGCAGGGGCCTTATCTGCATCTGGGTGCCCCCTTTCATAAAGGGGGCACCCAGATGCCGCCCCCCTTGTGAATGAGTAAGAGGTAGTTGTTACCCCTACTGATTTGCCAGATAGGAAATAAAATAGTCAATAAACACTGAAAAAGTCCTTTTTTTGACCGTTTTTGACAACTCCTTTATTAGTTAAAAAAAAATGTCCTTCAATGTAATCCAAATGTCAATCATACCATCTGCCAATGTAGATCCTCATCAATCACAATGAACTATGCATGCCAATCTGCCGAAGTAAAAAAAGTACTGCTGCCTGCCGCCCGTCTGATGCCGTGGAACTCCCATCGCAAATGACAACTCAGGCCCAAATGTAAACAAATGGGTGAAGCGAGTCATGACGTCATGACTCGCTGCGCCCATTTGGTTTTATTCCATGCCAGCTCTCTGTCCTCAATTGGCATATAAACAAATGGGCAGAGAAAGTTCCGCGACGTCCTGACTTGCTCCGCCTATTTGTTTACATGCCATTTGAGGACAATGGACATGGACTGAAAATAAATAGGTGGAGATAGTTATGATGTCACAACTTGCTCGGCCAATTTGTTTGCATTCAGGCCAGAGCTGTCATTTTGCAGCAGCCATTGGATGGGTCAGCTGTACTTTTATTATTTCGGTGAGTCGGTAGACGGCATTCATCATGATTTATGAGGATATACATCGCTAGACGTCATGATTGAGCTTCGGATTACATTGGTGGACACTTTTTTTGCTGGGTTTTACTACTAAAGGAAAGGGGTCTCTGCAGGATCCGTGGGGGGCTTTTCAGGATCCCTAGGGGGCTCTGCAGCCTGCAAAGCCCACCACAGATCCTGGACAGCCCCCCCAAGATCTACCAGACTGCCGGGCCTCAGGGGGTCTCTGCAGGATCTGTGGGGGGCTTTGCAGGATCCGTGGGGGGCTTTGCAGGATCTGTAGGGGGCTCTGCAGCCTGCAAAGTCCACCACAGATCCAGCACAGCCTGTCTGAGATCCGACAGACTGCAGGGTCTCAGGGGGTCTCTGCAGGATCTGTGGGGGGCTTTGCAGGATTCGTGGGGGGCTTCACAGGATCCACAAGGGGTCTCTGCAGCCTGCAAAGCCCACCACAGATCCTGGACAGCCCCCCCAAGATCTACCAGACTGCCGGGCCTCAGGGGGTCTCTGCAGGATCTGTGGGGAGCTTTGCAGGATCCGTTGGGGGCTTTACAGGATCCGTAGGGGTCTCTGCAGCCTGCAAAGCCCACCACAGATCCTGGACAGCCCCCCGAGATCTACCAGACTGCAGAGTCTCAGGGGGTCTCTGCAGGATCTGTGGAGGATTCGTGGGGGCTTTACAGGATCCGTAGGGGTCTCTGCAGCCTGCAAAGCCCACCACATATCCTGGACAGCCCCACCGAGATCTACCAGACTGCCGGGCCTTAGGGGGTCTCTGCAGGATCTGTTGGGGTCTCTGCACGATCTGTGGGGGACTTTGCAGGATCCATAGGGGGCTCTGCAGCCTGCACAGCCCATCACAGATCCTGCACAGCTCCCCCTGAGATCCAGCAGACTGCAGGGTCTCAAGGGGTCTCTGCAGGATCCGTGGGGGGCTTTACAGGATCTGTAGGCGGCTCTGCAGCCTGCAAAGCCCACCACAGATCCTGCAGAGCCCCCCTGAGATCCGGCAGACTGCAGGGTCTTAGGGGGTCACTTCAGGATCCATGGGGGGCTTTTCAGGATCTGTGGGGGGCTTTGCAGGATCCTTAGGGGGCTCTGCAGCCTGCAAAGCCCACCACAGATCCTGCACAGCCTCCCTGAGATCAGGCCGACTGCAGGGTCTGTGG